AGCCACGCCCCGGCCCGCCGCGCTCTGCGCCCAAGCTCCGGCAGCGCAAGCCACTGCTGCCGCCGCCGCCCGGGGACACGTGCCCGGCCCGGCCATGGGCTCAGCACAGGCTGGGCTTTGCTGGGCTCCAGCCTCCTGCTACCGCCCGCGAGGGGAGGATGGGGATGTGACGTGACATCGTCGAAACCCGGCGGCTCGGTTCAGCTGGACCGTCAGGAGTGGTGGTGACCCCAAGGAAGACTTATTGGGGGAAGGTAAAAATGGCTGAACTGAACACCTAACTTGGAGCCAGAGGTGGCCCCTCACATTGTGCCTCCCTCTTCTAGTCCATCAGCCCCTCAGGAGCCCGCAGCACACCCACCAACCAATCCCTGCTCGACTGGGGGCAGGGATGCAAGGCCCCAACTCTGGTGTGCCACAACTAAAGCACCCACAGCTGGATGGATGCACGTGGCTGCTGCATCCACAGCCCCAGGGCTCTAGGCCCCAGGGCACTGGTCAGGCAATTCGTCCAACCCTAATTCTATGCAGAAAGTACACTGGCCTGGGGAAGGAGGCACAAAATGCTGTTTGGGGACATTCAGTATGCCCCTGCCTACAATAGCCACTGCCCACGTTTTTCTATCTATATTGTATTCACCCAAAAATGAGCCAGACAGATTCCAGATATGTGTCTGCCTGTTAAGTGTTCCCTATGAACTGGTCTGCCAACATCACAGCATCTACTTAAGGAGAGATTTTTCAGCTTATATAAACAAGGTAAAATATTGCATGAGTATACATAGAGGAGTACTATAGAAACTTCTGTACTCTACTATTTCATTGTATAGAACTTTCAAAACAGAGCCATTACTTTTTCAGTATGGAAAGGAGTATGTTACGCATGCGCACCCATGCCTATGCATACATATACACACATTTTACCTTACATTTCATGTTAGAATGAATTCACAGCATCAGAGCAAAACAAACAGAGTCGATAGTGCTGAATGTCCATGGCCAC